TCACTGATGCGCCCGCCAAGCTCGGAGCACTCCGCTGTTTTTGCGGTCGGTAGATCTGCCTTCTGAGCACGGCCACAGTAACAATCAGGTGTCGCCACATTTAACACGCGATCGTTCATGTCGGTTCATTTCCTTTGATGTTTTCTGTCTTTTATTTGCGCCTGATGCGTTTGGCTGTGGAGCGGGGCGCATCACCTTGTCATCCGGTGACGCACCGATCACGCGGCCACCAAGCAGCAAGCACTCCGCTGTTTTTGCGGTCGGTAGATCTTTTAGAACTGCAGTTCAAAGGTAACTCATAAGGTGAATATATATGAACCCAGGTAGCAGTTTTTCTTTAGGATTGAGAAGAGATGCAGGAAGATAATAAACAGACAGGACAGAAAAATAGTCAAATAAAAACAAGTTAGTTTTTGTACCTGGTGGTTGCAACAAACAGACACCATTGAAGGTAATCAGAAGTGAGGAACAGAAAATGAAATAATTATTTTAATGTTTAGAGCAGCAGGAACTCCGAGAGGCTGCAGGCGCATCAGTGAGTTTGGGGCTGCTGCGCAGGGGGAGGGGGGAGATGGCTGAAGCAGAAACTACCGTTGTTAAAAGAAATGTGTTTAACTTTGAAAATGTGGGCGCAATTTTAATTGTCAAAAACTCCAGCGAACCATTAGTTCATTTTGCTCAAATAGAAATAGAGGCCTGCCTCTAATACTGACCCTCTTTCCAATAAAGGCCTGGAGCTTGATGAGCTTGAGTCAAATACAGGCCCAGGCCTGTATTAGAGGATTTACGGTATATTTTAAGTGCTGCATGAAACTGGTCTTGCCATGTGATCTGTAAGCTCTGAATCACTAAGGAATGTTTTTTTTTAATTTGTAGATTATTATTTATTTTTTATTTTTCAAATTTTCAAGTACACTTCAGGCGTTGTACTTGTACTACACTGTCAGGCTCCAGCCTTGTCTTATACTGATTGTATTAAAACAAAGAAAACAATCCGAAGTTTTTTTTTTTTTTTACCGGTCCGGCCCACTTGGTACTAGATTTCCCTCAATGTGGCCCCTGAGCTAAAATGAGTTTGACACCCCTGACCTAGATCCATCCATCCACAGTAATATTAGTTAACTTGTCATGTTTTTAATCGTTTCGATAATAAATTCTTACTTTTTATAAACCTGACTCTCTTCTTGAATCAACACGAAGTGTTCCACAATCCCTGAATAAACAAAAAATCCTAGAATCGTATGATTAAACATCCAAAGGCCCAGCAGGTTGATATTCTATATTTATATAGAGTTTCACAGCGTATTGGTCATAAGTAAAGGTAATATATTAAGCTTTAAAGCACTACATTTACCACTCCTACAGTCCTCAAACAGGTGCACCAGAGCTTTTTTTTCCCCAAGAGAATGATTTACAATGTGTTTTTCCTAGAGACTACTGCAGTTGTATAAAAAATTTGAACAAAGTTGACCTTTAAAACACCGAAGGGACAAGAGGGGGTAATATGATTTAGTGAAATCACCTCCAGCCAAGTCAAAAAACTTCCATAGAATTTAATTTTTCCAATTCTTTTCATGTAGAGAGAGCAGCGTGCCTGAATGCTGATTTTCCTAAGTACAGGTCAAGGGGACAGAGAGTGGAAATCGTCGCTGTCTTCCTCCGCTTATCCGGGTCCGGGTCGCGGGGGCAGCATCCCAACTAGGGAGCTCCAGACCGTCCTCTCCCCGGCCTTCTCCACCAGCTCCTCCATCAGGACCCCAAGGCGTTCCTGGACCAGATTGGAGATGTAACCTCTCCAACGTGTCCTGGGTCGACCCGGGGTCCCCCTGCCGGCAGGACATGCCCGAAACACCTCCCCAGGGAGGCGTCCAGGAGGCATTCTGACCAGATGCCCAAACCACCTCAACTGACTCCTTTCGATCCGGAGGAGCAGCAGTTCTACTCCGAGTCCCTCCCGAATGTCCGAGCTCCTCACCCTACCTCTAAGGCTGAGCCCGGCCACCCTACGGAGGAAACTCATTTTGGCCGCTTGTATCCGCGATCTCGTTCTTTCGGTCATTACCCAAAGCTCATGACCATAGGTGAGGATTGGGACGTAGATCGACCGGTAAATCGAGAGCCTGGCTTTCTGGCTCAGCTCCCTCTTCACCACGACAGATCGGCTCAGCGTCCGCATCACTGCAGACGCCGGACCAATACAGCTGTCGATCTCCTGATCCCTCCTACCCTCACTCGTGAACAAGACCCCGAGATACTTAAACTCCTCCACTTGAGGTAGGACCTCTCCCCCGACCCGGAGGTGGCAAGCCACCCTTTCCCGGTCGAAAACAGTGGAAATACATTTCAAAAACAAATTTCATACCTTCATGAGTGTTTCTGCAAACGTGACTAATGCAGACCAAGAACTGTACTATGAATACATTTATGTCAGCAATTCAGACTACCAACTGATAAAAATGGCAATTTAGCCAAAGTGAGTAGAGCAAAATAGGTGTGAGAATCACTGTTGTTGATCCAGTGCTCTTTGAAAACATACAGGCTAGATTATGCATGATTAAAAGAGCATTCTAGCCAATCTTACAAGGAAGGTGAGCAGTATCACCATATTGTCTGTGAAAAGCTGTTTTGGAGACATTATGAAATTAAGTGTTTATGTGATGAACAGCAGTATCCCAAGGATAGATACCTGGGGCATCCCATTAAATGCACTAATATTGTGTAAGAACATGTGCATTTTACTAAAAACTAGAATGCTGATATAATTGAAATTTAAACTCTGTTATTAAAGCTAAGTATCACAAATTCCTCCCAGACACTCATTTTCTTAGTGCATGCTGTTGAAGCGATTTAAAGGTTTGAATCTTGTTGCGTGCAGCGAGCTTGGAGGGGAAAAAGCAGAAGTCATAAGGACCTTCCTAAAATAATTCACATGAAAACAAGCAAAATAAAAATTGCAATCACGTTGCCCACATGATTACAGATGCATTCTTTTTATTTGTCAAACACCGAAAAGAACTAAATGTTTAATTAAACTTGCATTAAAAAGCAAGCCTAGATTTCAGGCGAGACATGAGAACATTTATACATAAAAGAGGATCTACACCTTCACCTAACAGCCAAAGATCAGGATCAGAGGTTTTTATTTACAGGCTTCCGCATTAAATGAGGAACAGAAAGGAGGTATGCAAACAATTTTCATGTTAACAGGAAGTGGGTTTTTTCACATGTACAAAAACAATCACATGAGCGTCTACCACTGGGAACGCTGTGACAGCGTTCACCTCTGTGCTTATTAGGTCATCTGCATCAGTTCTCTATGGTTTCCAACATGGGTTAGGAATAAACTAGGGAAACAACGATAAGTGTGTCATTATGTAAGTCCCTTATTATGCATCTTCCTATATTTAAATGTGATGAATCAAAGTTCTGCTTTAGCTGAGTGTTGTTGTTTCTAAACCCCAGAAATAGACGAAAGCAATAGACAATTAGAAATGCAGAATTAATGCAAAAAACTATAAATCAGCCTTTGATTTTAGTGAAGCTCTGTTAAAATATTTAAAAACAATGATTTCACTATTTCATTTTAGAGTGGCCTGTGCACGTTTCTACTTAAAGAGCAAGTCACCCCAAATCAACTTTTTTTTGCTGATAAACTTAATAAACAAGTGTCTAATCGTGCTGCAGACACGTGTAGTCAATAATTTGGCACTTCAGTGCATCTTAGATAAATTTTAAATATTCTGCCTAAAACTGTCAGTGTTGTGCCGTTGTCAGGTAAAAACTATGCACTGTATTTGAATTTAAATCTGCCACCGCTATTGGCTAAGAGGTATGCTATGATGTTAACTGGTACATTATGATGTCAGCCTGTGTGTGTGTGTGTTTGTTAGCGGCTCCGCCCTCTTGGTCTGCCAGGCAACAGCATTTGTTGCATTTTTCAAACATGAAGTGGGAGTGGAGTTAGACTCTGGTAGGGGGTGACTTGCTCTTTAAATGTAATAATAGTGGCACAAGAAGCTTGTGGGTAATGACTGAGGCAGGAGGAGTGACTTAAAACTACTGGCTTTGTCTCTTTACCAAATCCCACCAGCAGAGGGCGACATCAAACTATATGATGGCCACACACACACACACACACACACACACACACACACACACACACACACACACACACACACACACACATCAAATCAAACAATATAGCAGAAAATTGGAGAAGCATGGCCATCTGCTCTTTAACAGTAGTAACCCGTCCCTTTAACCACAGAGATGAAAAAGATTTAATTCTGTTTTTAAGATAAGATCAAACCAGAGTATCACAGCTTCTTCATGCTTTGACTGGCTGAATGTAGATATGATATGATGCAAAACAACCATCTGCAGGAATTTTGATTCCTGGCATTTACCCGGATGATTCTTGCCAACAACCTTGCAGACTGGTTATGAATATTAAAGAGCAAGTCACCCCCTGCCAGAGTATTACACCACTCCCTCGTCCTGATTGAAAAATGCAACAAATGCTGTTGCCTAGCAGACCGAGAGGGCGGAAGCGCTAACAAATACACACACACACAGGCTCACAACAACATTGTGACATCATATGGTACCAGCTAACGTTCTAGGGTACCTCTCAGCCAATAGCGATGGCAGATTTAAATCCAAATGCAGAGCAGAGTTTTTACCTGACAACGGCACAACACTGACCGTTTTAGGCAGAAAATTTAAACTTGAACTAAAATGCACTAAAGTGCAAAACTATTGGCCGCATGTGTCTGCAGCACGATTACACACACATTTATATAGTTTATCAGAGAAAAAAATGTTGATTTGGGGGTGACTTGCTCTTTAAAAAAAACAATCCAATAGTTTATAATAGTTTTGATCTGTTAGGCAGGATCTGAAGTTTATTTAACATAAACATATAAATACAAATGTTTATCTTGTCTCCTTTTTGAATAATATTCTCCACATCTTTTTGAGCAATTAAAAACGCCAAATCATGTTCTTAATAAAATAATTTTATTTTCATTTCCATCAATGCATTTGAGTCAGACAGATCACCACAAACAGGGAGAGGGGCAAAGAATGAACGGCTGGAGGTTAAAACCTCAAAGGTAGAAAAATTAAATAATAAAAGCAAAGTTGATTTAAGAGCATCCGAGTCCACACAGAGGGAGAGGCTGAAGAAAGGCTTCTGGGTTGCCTTTAGAAGAGCAGCCTTCACTTCTTGGCAGCAGCTCTGGTCCTGGTGGACCGAGCCTTCTTGGGACTCTTCCTGGGCTTTTTGGCTGCAGGTCTCTTTGCTTTCTTTGGCCTCTTTGCCTTCTTCTTCTTTGGTGACTTCTTGGCTCCTCCAGCTGCTTTCTTGGCTTTCTTTGCCTTTTTTGCCTTTGGCTTCTTCTTCTTCTTCACCACCTTCCTCTTTCGAGGTTTAGGGCTTTTTTTGTTCAGCTTGTAGGAGCCTTTAGCCTTGACCAGAGACTTCTTAGCCAGCAGACGCTTGATGGCAACCCGGATTCTGGTTTTGTTTTTCACCACATCGTATCCCCCTGCTTTCAGAGCCTTCTTCAGGGCCACCAGGGACACGCCGCCACGCTGAGAGGATGCAGCCACAGCCTTCAGGATCCGAGACGACAGCGCAGGGCCCGTCTTCTTAGGCTTTCTCTTTTTGGGAGACTTGGCAGGAGATGCCAAAGATAAAGCGATCACAGGCGACGACATGGTGATGAGTCAGGTCAGTGAAGGTCAGGGATGTCTGTTGGTCCTCTGGACCGGTGGGCTTTAAAAACACCCCCATGAGAACCGTATAGAGGCAACTCCCACGACAGCTGAGGGGATCTTCTCCACCTTCTCAGACAAGATAAAGATTGTGTTTTCTTTAGTAGTGTTATTCTGCCATAATTCAAAGTTAAAGATTAAACAATCAAATAAAAACACCCTTAAAAAATCCCACACCAACCTAGCTTCATCTATGATAACTTTTAGGAACGTTCGGATCAAATGTATGACTGTTTTAAGACCTATTTGCCAGCAGGTTGTTGTCAAATGTCATTTAACATTTGTCTTTTGGACACTTTACAAGGTTATTAAAGCTAAATAATAAAGAGCAGGGGGTTGTGTTTAAATCAGCTGAAAGAACATAAAGTTTTTGTAGTACTGACTTCAAATTTTTTTACTTTTTATTCATATTTGCCTGAAAATTCTCCTGGAAGCTAAGCAAAGAAACACAAACACCTTCATGCAGAGCTGAGATCATTATAGCACTTCTTCAGAACCCAAATTTTTAATGATATTAGTGGAAAAAAATGATATTCATGACATTTATTTTATTAATATTATTTATTGGAAAAATACATGTTACAACAACATTGAATTTTAAAATTGAATTTGAAGTTCATGGCAAAAGATAATAAGGTAATAAGTGACAGGATGGTGTAAAATGCAGGTCACTGGCTGTGAACATATTTAACATAACATAATTTAATGTGGTGATAAAAAAAGTCTCAAATAAACTGTCTCTGAAAAGTGGAGAAATGGATGTCAGCCAGAATTAGAGTTATCAGTCTGAGAGGAAGGGTGGGTGGAAACATAATTTAAGGATAATTTCTTGTTTTTTTTAATATATATGTATTTAATTATTAGATATGTATTGTTATTTGTTTCTCTTTTAAGCATCTGTGTGCAACTTCATGTCCTTATCTGTGAAATACATAACACCGTCAGGACTTCTGAACTTTATTCTTAATCTGTATTTGGCATGAAAATTTAAATTTAATGCAAATCAGAATTTTATTTAGCTTAATTTATCTCAGCACAGCAAAAAAAAAGAAGAAAGAAATCAGTGATGTAATTAAGAAAAAATATATTTTCCATCCATCGTCTGAACCCGCTTGTCCACGTAGGGTCGCTGGTGCCCATCTCCAGCGGTCAACGGGCAATCAGGCGGGGTACACCCTGGACAGAGAGCCAGTCCATCGCAGGGCAACACAGAGACAGACAGGAAAAACAATCATGCACACACGCACTCACACACACACACACACACACACACACACACCTAAGGACAATTTAGACAGACCAACCAACCTAACAGTCATGTTTTTGGACTGTGGGAGGAAGCCGGAGTACCCGGAGAGAACCCCCGCATGCACAAGGAGAACATGCAAACTCCATGCAGAAAGATCCCAGGCTGGGAAGCGAACCCAGGACCTTCTTGCTGCAAGGCAACAGCTCTAACCACTGCACAGCTCAAATCGGTTTTATGCAAATGAAATGATTGTAGTCATTTGGATTTCTTTCTTCCTTTTTTTTTTTGGCACTTAAATTTCAGCCGTAAAAATCCAACTTAAACTAAAAAAAATGTTTATTTTACTATTCCAGGTTTCAAAAATGTAATTTTCTACATTTGTAATTGAGGTGTTATGTGCAAATTTTGTTTCAATTCTGATCTTCCAATTTTTTTACTACAGAAAAAGTTTTTTTTTGCTACTCCCTTGTTTTCAATATTTCTTTATTGACAGACAATCATTCAGAAATGACAACAAAGCTTTTATGTTGTTGTTTTTTTACATGTGCTTAAAATAGCCACACACACACACACACACACACACACACACACACACACACACACACACACGCACACACACACACACACACACAGATGTTCCTGCTTTATCCTGTACATTTTTTTGTTTATTACGGTAAGAAAAAGAGCACGTGTGTGTGTGTGTGTGTGTGTGCGTGTGCGTGTGCGCGTGTGCGTGTGTGTGTGTGTGTGGTAGACTGACAAACACAGCGCTGCCTTCTGTAGTGTGCTGATAGCACCTCCTCTAGCTGCATGTAGAGATAAAAATACATAAAACTTTGCTAACAGGAAGCTTGGTTCTGGTGGAACTGCAGTTCTGTTTTTGGCCTGTTAGTGGTCATCTCTTAGGTAAATGCTTTTTCAGCAGCCACAGGAAGTCCCAAATGTGTGTTTACCTTCAAAAACATGAATGTGTAATGATTTACTGTTAAATTCTACTTATAATCTCACAGGCTTTACTGAAAACTTTTAAAAAGAAGGTATTTCTGTTGTTCTGGTGTCAGTTAGCCATTGTTCTGTTGCTGTTATGAATCCTTAATGCAATCCACTGGATCGTTGCCCGGCAACAGTGTTCTAAACAAGTTTTTCTGAAGGTTTTCTGTGGTTGAAACAAAACTGACAAACACAACCAGCTAAGCTGCAAACAAGACACACCAGGAGTTTTAATCTCTTGCTGAACTTGGTAAGTTCTGGAAAATAAATGAAGTGTAATTATTTGTTTTAACTTAACAGAGAAGCTGTGAGATTTAATCAGGCTGGAAACAGTTATTACTAATCAAAGCTGCTGTTTTTACAAGAAAATGTTAAATTTGAGGTGTTTTTGACTCATGAATGCACTAAAACAATCTGATTTTTCACACAGAAATACGAACAAATCAAGATGTCACACTTCGATCAAGCAGATTACGCTGTTTTCAGGTACGTTTCTTTCTAGAAAACATTTGTTTATATTTTACAACAAAAGCTTTATTTAATTTTAGACATTTTTGTCAGCACGTCATATTTTGATTTGAATGTTCTGAATTGTATCTAAATGATGCAAAAACATTTTTTTTTTCTTTTGGGTGTTTTAATTAGAGAGAGACTGGCGGTCATACAGAGGACAGGGAACAGGGTCGAGCTCCTGATGAAACAAGTGCAGGAAAAGCTGACGGAAGTTGATTTTTTGAAGAAACAAGAGCGGGAAAAGCTGATGGAAGTTGATCTTTTGATGAAACAAGAGCAGGAAAAGCTGATGGAAGTGAATCTTTTGCAGTTTCGGCTGGGAATGCAAGCGAAATCTGTGCAAGAAGAACTTCAGGATCTGGGATGGCTGATGGCAGAACGGCGTCGCCGACTTTACGCTTCATCAGGTCCGGGGTCTCAGCTGGAGTCGTGTGATTATGATTATCTTATGCCACATTACCTGGACACAGTTAGTCCTGAAACATGTGATGGTCCCATCCTGTATCGATCACCCTACAAACAAAGAGCCACAGAAATGATTCACCATGACAGCGATTACACCTCAAACACAGATTCAGTGCTTCTCAGACGTTACCCCTCACCATGGTCACCTGAGAACTGGAGTCTGAACGAATTCGAGAGATTTCTGTCAGAAGGAGATGGAGAGGCAGAAGTTTGGGTGGACGAGGAACCAAAACGGCGAAGGAGAAATACTCTGTAGACCACGGGGACGTTTGCAGGACCTGTCAGAGACATTTTACATCCCAGCTCATCCTGCAAATGGAAGAAAACAAATATTCAATAAATGATGAGCATATCTATTTGTCAGTGCTTATTTTGAGTTGGTAAATGGAAAATAAAGTAAAGCTCTAAAGTTTGGCTTCACTTTACTAAATACGACGGGTGATTGGGTGAAGACGAAACCAGCGACAACGATCTAAGTGTGAGGCATCATCATTTTAATCTGCTCCAGCAGTTAAATAAACTGTTTAAGATAACGTTAGCTTGATATGTTAGCTTCCATTGCCACCGTTGTGATCAGCTAATGGTGCGTTCGCTTTCTCCTCGGAAATTCTAACTTCCCAGTAGGAAAAATCAAATGAAAAACGACGGCAATAGGAATGAAGATACGCAGTAAATTTAGTTCACAGTAAAGATGTTTGCTTCAGTTTAATTATCAGCTTATAAAACTACAAGGACGATGTTAAAATACAAACAGTTGTATGTTATTTATCGTGATATTTATCAAATATGGTTATATATTGAGAAAAATATATATTTAATTATAAAAGAGAATTAAAATATTAAACACTCAAAAGTATTTAAAATTGGTATCGTTAAGTATCGGTATCGATTCCTAATGGGAATTAGTACCGAATCGATTCAAATGTCAAAGGTACCCATCCCTAAAAAAATTTTTTATTGTGTCACTGACCCCATAAAAATTTTATTTTTCTAAAATTTTGTATTTAATGTATTCTCCTCCTACTTGCCCCCAAAAAACATCTTTTTCAGATTTTTTGTCGTTCAGAATGAAGTCACACAATCAGACTACAGATCAGTTCTCTTCTAAAACAAAGATCAAATGTTTCTAATGTCTATTTATCATGGAATAAAATCTTTGCACACGTCCATCTATATGAGAACATCCAAATTTACACATAATCTCATCTTTT